GGGAGGGACGTCCCCTGCCCACTAGGACAGAGGGACCTCTGCCCAGCCGAGGAGGGCACTTAGCTGGACAGTGAGTGGCAGCGAGACTGGCCCCAGGTCACCTTTGCAGGGGGGGCGCCCCCTCACGGTCCCAGTGCTGCCTGCAGAGGTAGAATTTGGGGCAGCTGTGACCCCCACCTCAGCGGCTACTTCTGGGGGAATTCCTGCCTGAGCCCTGTGGGGAGGGCCGTGCAAGGCGCCTGGGCTCGCGTCTCTGCCCTTCGGAGCTGGGCACCGCGGATCAGCCAGCCCGCCTTCACACCTCCGTTTCCCTGAAGACCACAGACGCAGCCCCTTCCAGGGCTCTTGTGAAGGCTGCGATCATGCATGTGACATGCCTAACAATCACGTGCTTATCTCTTTTGTTATTTGCCAGAAGGCGTGCGCGTGTGCCAGAGAGAGAAGGTGACAACGTTCCTGCCACGGGGAATGGGCACGCAGCCATCCCTTTTCCATGTCTCCCTCCTTTGGGAGTTTTGGACACGCCTGGTGTGCTTTTCAAGCCGCCGGGTCGGGAACTTGAACTGCACTGTCCGCTGTGTGGGCTTCTGCTTTCACACCCCCCCACACCCCGCACTGGCTGGCCCTGGTAATCTAATGTTATAAGTGTGACATCTCTCATGCTTTGCTGACCCCAACCTTAACCCTGCGCTGGTCCGGTGGCCCTTCTGTGGCTGACAGATGGCCCCGCGACCCTGCCCTTCCCCTTGGCGGCCGGTGCCTCTGCTGCAGTCAGCAAGGGTGGGCAGAGGCTCTCAGGAGATGGGCCAGGTGAAGACTGAGCACAGGCCAGCTGGCCATATCCAGGGCAGATGCGCTTAAGCCTCTCCTGGGCAGTTCTTTAGAGCAACCTTAGAGATCCCCGATGCCAGAGTGGGCTCCCGCCGGTGCTCAGTGAGCTCTGGCGGCCCGCCCATGCTCCCCAGGTAATCCATCTCCTAATGCACGGCCCTGGCCTGAGTCCAG